TGTCTTCTCATCAAGTTCACTCGACTTCGGCTGTACTTCGACCATTAAGCATAATATCCCCCTGATCGACAACCAACCCTTCCGAATACCACATCGACGTATACCGCCTTCACAGTATGACGCAGTCAAGGAACATCTGAAAAGCATGGTAGAAACAGGAGCGATTCGAAAGAGCAGCAGTCCATATGCCTCGCCCATGGTAATAGTTCACAAGAAAGATGGGTCTCTTCGTATCTGCGTCGATTATCGCCAGCTTAACAGCAAAACCGTACGAGATGCGTATCCCTTACCTCGGATAGATGAAGCACTGGACGCCCTCGGCAAGGCAACCCTGTTCAGCACGCTAGACCTAACATCTGGTTATTGGCAGGTAGAGATGGAGGAACACGATAAACACAAGACAGCGTTCACCACTCCGATGGGGCTTTTCGAGTGTAACAGAATGCCCTTCGGCCTTCAAAACGCACCGGCTACCTTCCAGCGTCTCATGATGACCTGTCTAGGCGACCTCAACTACTCTTCAGTGCTGTTGTACCTTGATGATATTATAGTCTTTTCGAATACCTTTGAGCAACACATCGAGCGCCTTGGAAACGTCTTCTCCTGTTTGAGGCAACACGGTCTTAAGCTCAAACCGTCAAAATGTGATCTACTCAAGACAGAAGTCAAGTATCTTGGTCATATAGTCTCATCTGAAGGAATCGCTACGGATACAGAGAAGACATCAAAGGTATCTGATTGGCCAACACCCCTCAACCGCAAAGATGTACAGCGATTTTTGGGATTCACAGGCTATTACCGCCGGTTCATAAAGGGTTACTCCGACATCGTCGCCCCACTATTCAAGCTGACTTCAGGGGATCCGCGACGTAGGAAGAAAGGGAAAAGAAGACAGACTACCCCTCCACCTCCCTTTATATGGACAGAGGAGTGTCAACAAGCAATGGATACGCTCAAGCAGCACATGACGTCAGCTCCCATCCTGGCCTATGCTGATTATTCTCTGCCTTTCATCCTACAGACCGACGCTTCCGGTGTTGGTTTAGGAGCAGTACTGAGTCAGATGCAAGGCGGAAAAGAGCGTGTTGTGGCATTCGCAAGTAGAAGTTTGTCTCCGTCAGAGTCGAGGTATCCTGCTCACAAGCTCGAATTCTTGGCTCTGAAATGGGCGATCACCGACAAATTCCGTGAATACCTGATAGGAAACACCTTCACTGCACTCACTGATAACAACCCTCTCCTCTACATCACAACCTCAGCAAAGCTAGACGCGACTGGTCAGAGATGGGTGGCAGCTCTTTCTCAATTCAATTTCACCATTAAGTACAAACCAGGAAAAGACAACGCCGCCGCCGACGCACTGTCAAGACGTCCTCACTTGCAAACCACCAGAACATCTCCATCGTTCCAGAAAGAGGCTGTAACCGTCAATTCAGATGACGTCCTAGCCCTTTGCTGCGGACATCCTACAGAGTCACAACCCTACATTGATCCGTCTACTATACAATGTCAGGTCACCATTCGACAAGTTAAAAAGTCGGATCAATCCATCAAGCTCCAAAGTAACGCAGATGAACTACCAAGGATCTCAAAACAAGAAGTTGCTGTAGCTCAACGGGATGATCCAGTCTTGTCCAGAGTTCTTTTCTACTTCGACCAAGACAAGAAACCTGACCAGCGTGAGAGACGACGTGAGCCAAAAGAAAGTGTACTCCTCATCAGACAGTGGGACAGACTTTGTCTGCGAGATGGCATTCTACATCGAAAAAGAACAGCCACTGATGGGAAAACATCATATCAGTTAGTTCTTCCCAAGAAGTACAGACAAACCGCAATGCATGGACTCCACGACGAAATCGGACATCTTGGGTTTGAGAGAACTCTCGACATGGTGAGAAATAGATTCTTCTGGCCAAAAATGTACCAGGACATCAAACAGTACTGCCTCGAATGCAAAAGATGTTGTCTTCGTAAGACCCAACCAACACGAACCAGAGTACCACTCGTAAGCATCACCACAAGCGAACCCCTAGAGCTTGTATGCATCGACTTTCTGAAGCTCGAAAGATCTAAAGGAGGCTTTGAGAATATACTGGTGGTAACTGACCACTTTACAAAATATGCTCCAGCCTTTCCAACATTAGATCAGAAAGCTGGCACAGTCGCCAAAATACTCTGGAAGAACTTCATCCAACACTACGGGTTCCCCGTCCGACTCCACGCAGACCAAGGCAGAAACTTCGAAAGTAACCTCATCAAAGAACTCTGTCAAGTCTCCGGGATTAAGAAAAGTCACACAACACCCTACCATCCACAAGGAAATGGCCAAACAGAAAGGTTTAACCACACCCTGCTCAACATGTTAGGCGCCATGGACCCAGACAAGAAGAAGAACTGGAAAGAGTATGTCGGACAGATGGCACACGCGTACAACGCAACCCGACATGACTCAACTGGCTTTGCACCATTCTACCTCATGTTTGGAAGGCACCCCAACCTACCCATAGATCTCATGTTCGGTCTCAAGAACAACACAGACACGCCTCCTACCTATGACGAATTTGTAGAAACGTTTCGTGAAGGACTCATGTCTGCGTACGAGAGGGCGAAGGACTACACTTCTAGGGAACAAACAAAGCAAAAGCGGCTATACGACAGAGGTACGAAACCTGCTCCTCTTCTTCCCGGTGACCGTGTGTTAGTACAACACAAACACATCATCGGAACACAAAAACTTGCCGACAGGTGGGAACCCCATCCCTATGTCGTGATATCCAAACGACCCAATCTGCCGGTATATGTTGTCTGCTCCTTGAACGATGGTAAACAACGGACCTTACATCGAAATCTGTTGACACCATGTATGTTCTTGCCAGTTGACATTCCACAGGAAGAAGCCAAAACTGAGAAGGAAGTACAGGAGACATCTGACAAAGAAATCATACAGACACCTGAGAAGAAAGCAAGTCAAATCAACGAAGAAATGGAAGAACAGACAAATGAAAAATCCAGTGATGAAGAAACTGACATTGTCTACTTCTCGGTACTGAACACCAGTACAGATGACGATCAACCTAGCTCTACACAGGCTCTCCCTGAAGCACTATCACCCAACTCAAAGATCCAGTCAGAAGGCGAACAAAATGTGCATCAGCCAACACAATCCAGTTTTTCGTCCCCGGACACTGCAACGGAAATACTGGAACAGCCGCCATCATTGAACAGATACAACGAGGAAGAAATAACTCTTCAGCCCAACCCCAGTCCAGTAAATTCCAGGCCTAAGAGAAACACCAAACCCATAAACAGGTTTGGAAACACCAAACTCGGTCAAACAAAACGACATCGAGTGTCATCGGAGGCTTATCAGCTCAAGCTGGCGGCGGGGAGAAGACTGTTGGCAAGATGGAAAAGCCCTGAAATGGCAGCTACCAGGAACAAAGTTGCCTTACGAATTCTATCACAATAACTAATCGCATACACTGTTCTATATGTTCCCCTGAATTAATTATATTTTCATTATTAGTATGGATTTTGTATGTAGAACGTATGTTTTTCTACGTGAAGTAGCTATGACGTGTAGATATAATCTTAGCGTATTCTAAGTACAATTTTGGATTTTTTGGTATAATTAATTGTGGTGATTTGATGAATGTTTATATTCGTTTGTTAAGGAATATTGCATACTCTTTATAATTTCGTTACGAGACCAGGGCCCGGTTAAGTAATGTTTATATTTGAGTATTCTAATTGTACGTTTTAATCGGGTACAATGCCTACTTTTTAAGGACCACAATGTGTATTAATTTAGTCTCATTATTTACTGTTAATTGGTTTTTTTGTAAATAGATGTCTTTCAAATGTCGAGGACGACATTTCAGCAAAAGGGAGGAGAATGTCACGGTTGCTTTAAAACGTAAGCGATATTTCGCCACCCCCCTTGATTTTTGGTTTATCCCATGTTTACATATTCATTTATTTCGTTGACGTAGATCACCCAACTGTAGCTACTTCTTTTGTTATTTTAATTTGACAAAGCGCCCTCTATTTTCATTTTGAATTTCGCGCGCTTTGAGCGTTATTCTGTTCTTGGATGAAGATAACTCAGTACGCATATTTTCTACTCTTCTCCAATTCACAGGTATGACCAATTTATTTTGTTTTCTCCTTTAAAAGTTTACTTGTAATACCGTTTGATAATACCATAGGTTTAGCTACATTTTCCTTTCAACAGTATTCTGTATTTTGTAGCTTAGAATTGCATTTTCAAGACGATGTTACGCTGAGATGATTTAGTATTTAACTAAGTTTGTAAATAATAACTTGCTACCTGTTTCTCTATTTAATTGTAGTATTTGTGTATAAACTTAGTAATTAACTTAGTCATTCTGTTCTTGGATGAAGATAACTCAGTACGCATATTTTCTACTCTTCTCCAATTCACAGATTCGACAAATAAACAAGAAACAATCTAGAAGCAGTTTCCCCGTCCCATTTTTCGTGGCCTAAATTACAACACGGGTCACATATTTAAATATGTAATATTAATATTGTGATTTTTCTGGTTCTTCAAAGGAAGTTTTTTAATTGTCGGGAAAGTAAAAGGAAACTATATGTATGTATCTACTTACATCCCAAACATTTTGTATCTGAGTGGGAAGTAGTATTACTGGTTAATATTTTATGGCAACTATACTTTACTTTGAAAAATTTAATATTGCCATGGAAACAATCTAAAGATTTCAATGAACATTTTCTTGCAATGTATTTATTAATTTACATAAAACTGCAAATACTAAATTAAATATAAACTATAAATAATATACAATGTGTTCAATTTTAAATAAAATATTAAGGACTCCTGAACCCAAATGGGGATTGGTTGTTTCAGTTAGATGTGTATTCATTTTGAGTTCGAGTAACGCAAGTCCATAAATATATATTTTTTCATTGTAGTTTAAGGCATCAGCTCAGAGATTCAATTAACTCAGCAGTAGTGGTCAATAAATGGTGAAAAAAATTGTCCTCGAAGTAATCAGTGGAATTACTACGTATGTTATTCCCAAAGCATTCTTAAAGGTGTACAGGTTCTGATGACCAATTTTTATGCAGCTAGTACCGCGGTTGGGTTCAGTGACGTTGACAAGCCACATGTTGTTTTCCTTGAACTTGGCCACTTTTGCGTCGTGGCCACGTACCTTATATCCCACATTGTGCATTATTACCGTGTCGTTGTTTTCCCTCCTCCACTTCGGTTGCCAAAACACATTAGCGTGTGGGAAATGCTTGACGGGCAAGGGTCTGACGTCAACGCGTACCGGCTGGTCCTTGTGCAGCTGGTCATTCAGGATGTTCTGGTCGGATCCCCTGTGCTTCGGATCCGCCAGTATTTCCGCCCACTTCTTGACAAACATGATGGTCTTGTTTGTTGGCTTGAAGTAGCCCAAGCCGGCGCAGTGCAAGGACCTATTCTGCAGTCTGGTCGGGTAAGGGGAGCGCTCATCCACAAGAGACATGTCAAAGTCCCCTTGGAAATACGAGAAAGGATCCTGGAACCAGAAGGTATCCACGTCCGTGAAGAAAACCTCGAATCCATGTTGCAACAGGGACAGGATGTACTTGTGGCGTCTGTTCACAAGGCGGTTGTATTCTGGGGTGAAAATGCGGAGCTTTTTCGATGAGGCTTCTCCCTCGGCCGATTTCAGCACGGTTATCACTGGGTCGCCCTTGGTAGCACTGAGCAGAGCCAGGTAGGCGTTCTTCTCCTCTGCGATGATTGTGGTGTTCAGGCAGACACCGGTCCGCTTGATACTCTCCAACAGATTCAGTGCCATATCCATGAAGGCGGTGTTGGTGTTCAGCAGTAGCACAACACCGGGTTTCTTCTCAGTATCAGCCAAGGTGCAACCAGAAATCTTCCCCCTGATGACGGCAGTTTGATTTGGTGGTGGCAGCGTCCTGATTGAGAATGTTTCCAGTTGCATAGCGCTCACCGTGGCATGTGCCGTTCTCCTATCATCGTTACTGTCATCGTGAAACGTGGTGGTATGGCGTAATAACGAGTAATCTGAGTAACACAAGAGCAAAGGAAACACTCTTCATCTTTAAAAGTGTACAGAAAATGGAATTCAGAGAGTAACCTCTAAACATGCACGATTGTCATTTCATTTTAGCTTGTCAATGGGACAACGGCAGTTGAGCTTTCATGTGAGAAAACATCGCTCTGTATCATCGTGATGAATCCGCGCATGCACATTTTTTTGGGGGGGGGGGCTAAAGGGGCGTTGGCGATCCTGCTTTGCCTGAAGGGGGTAGCTGTTGGGGGGAGGGGAGGGGTAGCAGGCATTTCCTACTGTTTTTTTATTGCATGATCTTCCTGTTTGTTGCGGCCAAAGGGGGAGGGCTATACCGCCTAACTCCCTCCTCTATAGAGCCTTGATCAGGTCTACCTTGGGACGACACAGAACAGTCAATGACTGACTTTTCAGGATCAAGCTGAGCCTGATCCACGCCTGTCGGGAACATTTCAGTTGCCGATTTTCTTGCGTCCTGAGTGCATCAACGACTACATTAAGACGATTGGCATTACTTGGCGCTCAACAAAAAAATATCAACAGTCGCAAGAGAAGAAAAATTTCAACTTCTGCGCAGTGACGGAAAGTGTTCCGGACAGGCGAGAATCAATCGCACTCGACTCGTGTGAATTTACGACGTCGTGCGCGCTCACCAGGAGCATTTAAATTCATTGTGAATCTTCGTCCTGTCGTGTGACATGAGCATGTTGAGATTGTTCTGTGGCCAGATGCCGCTTGTTACACGATAACCACAATATTTTTCAGTGACCTGAGCGTGACTGATGCCGACGGTTCCGTCGTGGCGCAAGCAAAGCGCAGGTGACATGTGGGTGGTTTTAGGTTGGTTTATCGACCAAATCTCGATCTGTTCGGAAAGGCGGATGGAGGGATACCGAACACCACATGCACCACGAACGATCGACTTACATATAAATACGAAGACGACACAGATTTGTAGGATGATCACGAACGCTATTGAAGAACGTATGCAGTTCATATTTCGTCTCCGAAAACTTTCTGCAAAAGAAATGAGTTTATAATAATTAATTCATATTTCCCTCATAACGAACAACATTCATCTATTAAAGAGAAATTTTGCAATGAGAAATGACGTTTCTTTCTTTGATCAATCCTCAATCTTTTCTTAAATTATTGTGATGACGTTGTACTTTTTTTGTAAATGAAACGAGGGATTCCTGAACACAACAAACAAACAAAACAAAACATTCATCCCGGCCGTGGCGCGTAAACGATATCCTCGCGCTATAGGGCCATGCATTATGCAGTGCATTAAAAATATAGCGCGAACAGCGACCTCATGCGGCCACCATTTCTAAGCAAATTAGTTGGACCCAATATCGCGCCTTGGTTCAATCGTCGGCAAAAGCTTATGTTTTTCTTTATTTTGCGCTGGATTTCTAGCGCACGACCTCGTATGCGAATACAGATAAGTGTAGGCGGGGCTAATATGTGGAGTGTCCAATCACACCTTGGTCAATCCGGACGTCATCAAATTGTTTGCAGCTAGCTATTCGCCTTTTGCGGACGTGACAGGAACCACAGTTTATGTGCATTGGTGCCGTGTGCAGAGACACCTAACGTGTACGTGTACATGTATGGATTATGTACGGTGCCACGTTTTACTAAGCAAGTTTCCCCGCAACGATCGACCTATAATAAAACGACATTTAAGGTCGGCTAAGGCTATTAACATAATGAGCACCACCCCCAAAACCTCTAATGGACGATTGAACCAAGGCGCTATATTGGGTCCAACTGATTTGCATAAAAACAGTGGCCGCGTGAGGTCGCTGTTCGCGCTGTATTTTTAATGCATACTGCATGCATAACGCATAGACATTATGACTGCATGCATTACCATTTTATTTGCGACAAAACATAATTTCAGAGGGTTCCCAAACATTCATACTTATACATGACGGTAGAAGGGGATCGTCAAGTAATCATATTTGTGAACACATTTTCTCTAGATTTTTTTTATCCCTTGATTGACCGAGTTTGAATATTGTCAAAAATCTGCTCTCAAAAAAACATTGAGTACGTAACATCTCGGAAAATCAGTCAGGTTTGTTGAGGTCTGGTCCCATGTTTCGTGAGCACTTAAACAGCACTAACACAATACTGTTGAGTCGGGTTTTTAACCCTGCGAGGCACGGTCTTTTTTGCGCGGATAAGCCTAGGGGCGCACGCGAGAGGCGTTTCATATTTGGGGGTAATAAACTTTGTTTGGGGGTGCAAATCGTTTTCTAATGGTCTGAACAGATGAATAGAAGTTCCCTGGCCCCAATTCATTGGGGCCGTATCATAAGTACGACGCCTCATAGGTTCGACGCCTCATGAGTCCGACAACGGAAAAAAAATGAGGCGTTTGAATTTGTCAGACTTACTGAGTTACGAGGCGTCGGAGCTTTGCGGCGTCGGACCTATGAGGCGTCGGACTTATGAGCGGACCCCAATTCATTCACCAAACAGCCATAAACAGATTGAAGTCGGCCTAAGCGTCGAACATTTATTTATTCCGCCTCATAGGTCCGACCCCTCATGAGTCCGACAACGGAAAAAAATGAGGCGTTTGAATTTGTCAGACTTACTGAGTTACGAGGCGTCGGAGCTTTGCGGCGTCGGACCTATGAGGCGTCGGACTTATGAGCGGACCCCAATTCATTCACCAAACAGCCATAAACAGATTGAAGTCGGCCTAAGCACTGTAATACAAGCACCGACACAAAACAGCCACAGGGTGAAAACCAGGCCACCTATAATTACCCCAACCTCGTCCCCAGGGTGTCTAGCAGTACGCGCCCACCACTACCTGCTCTCTCACCCTGGTATTGGATCATTTGCATGTGCAAGATTTTTGAACACGTATGCAAATTAGGAGTAGTCTGGTGCCTGCCTGTGCGTTACATTTGCGTTTGTTTTTGTATGCGGTGTCTGGGGTAAAAACAGAATCAATTCGTCGCAGCGCGAGCATGGCGTGAGTTACGAAAACATGATTTTATTATAATTAAACTGTTACGATCTTAACGAGACAACATGCAGTATCACATTTCATATTAATATTAACAAACTGGAAAGGCAATTAATATTTTCGAGAAGGCGTGGACGAATGATCGCGAAAACACGTACTGCACGTTTTGAATAACAACACCAAGTACACGATAAAAACCAATTTCTAGCCAATTGCGGTATCGAATCAGGATGCAGGAAGGAAGTTTCCTATCCAGGGTTTACTATTGGAAACAACGTTGGAAATAAAGTAAGCACTGGGGACGAGGTTGTAATTACCCTAAATAACCCTGAGTTTTTCTGGGTCAGGATTGACTCCAGATGTTGTTTACAGAGAGTCCAAAGGCCAGACAAAGGATGATTGACAGTTATAGAGATAAGAAGTGGGCACAGTACCATTTTACCATAGAGGTATGAGTAGTTGAGGGGGACTTCCTGACACAATTTGACCTTGGGCATAGAAATATGTAAAGGTCACATAAATATGTAAATATGTAAATATGTAGATATAAATATGAATTAATGGGGTTATGAAATTCCGGGCACAGTTTGACCTAATGAATGGATGGGATGAATAGGGAATAGGTGTGGGTATAAAGAACCGGGTACAGTTTGACCAATTCTATGGGAAAGATTGCATAAGGTATGGAAAAAAATATATATATATTTTTATGGTACATTTTGGATCTTAGCCCGAATATGAGTTTCATACGTTAGTCCCTGTGAACGACCAGCTGGTCGGATCTTTAATCCCCCAACAATAGACGGGAGAGGGCGCGTGCCAAGTCAGCCCACTAGTATTGTTACGAAGTTAATGCGATCGATACAAAAAGTAATTGGATTTCCGAATGCTCGAAAGCAGAAAGCAGCGATAGATGGCCAAAATGAACTTTGCGTTGATCAGACTGAAACGAGTACGATTGTCTATTTGAAGAATTATTTAAAGTCATTTTTATTGGGTTTATGGGTATTGTGCAACGTTGCGTTTTCCAAGGTATAAACAAACACTCACCGCAGCATACTTGCAGGGTACAGCCTGTGTCGGCCATGGGGGTATATGATAAATCCACGATCCATAATCCATGCATCTGTACGGAGACCGGTGGTCGATCACCCCTCGATGATCGCACCGATCCTGGAGCAAATAAATAACTCCGTCCGTGCGCCTATATTCCTCTTGTTAATCGATACAATACCAATGGCACTCTTCTACACTGCCACCAGAATCATCCAAGTAAAAATATATGTCTGTGCGCAGTGATCGTAGAAAAGGGAAGGTTTTGGCATCAGCCAGAGCAAATGCTAGTATACATGCACACTACTGTATACACGCCGTCCGATCAGATAGCGCTCAAGTTTTCTTAATCCGTGACGGCTAAATTATCGATTAGGCTCTATAGTCTGCAGAGGCGCGTACAATAAGGAATGGATTCAGTGGTTTAAAGCCATAACAAAACGTGCGGGTATGTGGTTTTCAAGGGAACTACGGCCTGGAAAGTGCCCGATTAAGTGTATAGGAATAACACAACCATCATTGTGCATTTTGTAATATTTCGTACTAGAACGACCCCAAAAACCAAGCTATAGCCTATCCATAGTTAAAAATTCAGTCGTAACGTAGTAAAAATGGTGCCCCTTTAACGCTGTCTGTATAGGAATGCACCGAACCCTAGTTGTACCTCCGTGCCGGATTTGTTTACAAAATCGAGGATGACTGGGTTTTATCTATGACCATTTTACGGGGGTTATTTAGAGGGCGTGTTCAAGCAATAATTTTATGACTGAGAGTAGGCTTTTCCAATTGATAAGACAACACAAACAAAGAAAAATACAACTGCAGAAAGTACATACGATATGACATTATTGCTTTATTGACGTCATTTTTCAGTAAAACATCATTCAACTCTTTTCCGTGCTCATCCTGCTCTTTTCCCTGCTCATCCTGCTCTTTTCCCTGCTCATCCTGCTCTTTACCCTGCTCATCCTGCTCTTTACCCTGCTCATCCTGCTCTTTTCCCTGCTCATCCTGCTCTTTACCCTGCTCATCCTGCTCTTTACCCTGCTCATCCTGCTCTTTTCCCTGCTCATCCTGCTCTTTTCCCTGCTCATCCTGCTCTTTTCCCTGCTCATCCTGCTCTTTACCCTGCTCATCCTGCTCTTTACCCTGCTCATCCTGCTCTTTACCCTGCTCATCCTGCTCTTTTCCCTGCTCATCCTGCTCTTTTCCCTGCTCATCCTGCTCTTTTCCCTGCTCATCCTGCTCTTTTCCCTGCTCATCCTGCTCTTTTCCCTGCTCATCCTGCTCCCTGCTCATCCTGCTCTTTTCCCTGCTCATCCTGCTCTTTTCCCTGCTCATCCTGCTCTTTTCCCTGCTCATCCTGCTCTTTTCCCTGCTCATCCTGCTCTTTTCCCTGCTCATCC